GGCGGGGGGCGGCGGGCCGCCCTGCCTGGCTCTGCTGCTGCTCCGCCTCGCCCTCTACGCGGGCTGCGCCGCCGTGGCCGCCGCGCTGGGCACCCTGATCGTCCTCATGTGTCGCGACCGCCGCCGACTGCCGCCGCCGGACTTCGCCGCCGCCGCTCCGGTCCTGCGGATCGCGGGGGTAAGTGGCGGGAGGGGAGCGGGCGGCGGCCGCGGCGAGCCTTCCCCTTGCCGCCGGCAGGGGAGCGGGGACGGAGGTGGCGCGGCCCTGGCTCTGCCGCCGGGCGCCGGACCACCCAAACCCCGTGTCCCGGTGTTCTCCTGCGGCCGCGGGAGCCTGTCCGGTCTCTGCCGGTCGTGGGGGCTTTAAATGGGAAAAGTTGTGCTGGAGGGTAGCAGGCGGGCAGGAAAAATCAAGTCGTTGCTGTGAGAGAGACCATCGGATTGTGGGAATGCTGGTACGGCAATTTGTTGTTGGCTGTGTATCAAATCCTTTTCTGCTCCTTCAGTCGAAATGTCATTAGCAAAAGAGGGAGACGTGCTCGAAGAGCCAGCATAGCATTGCTTAAATGCATGCTCTGAAGTTGGGCAGCTTTAGATAGTGTTATCATAATGCCTTGAGGAAGTGCCAATGTGTTCTCAAACCGCTGCAGACCTCTATGCAAAAGATAAACAAATTTATTTTCTGTGTGGCTTCTAAAATGTACTAATTCGTGTTCATGAGCTCTTTGTAGCTCACTGCTTAGGAGTATTTTTGGTTTCTTCTGAGTGGGACTGGTAGCGCAAGATTTTTGGAGACTGACTATAGGTTCTAGTCAAAGTTAACTTTCCTCCCTTCCACGCCTCAGCCCCCCATCAATTAATCCAGTGCTCCAGAGCTGATCCTAGACAGGCCTGAAAAACTACTGCTGGGAAGGGGGAGGACCTGCCAGCACTCCTGCTCTGCCCACTGGTCGTGGGGTTGTGGTGTTTGACGTTTACAGCCGGTGACTCTCCGGTCGGGTGCCCTTGGCCTCTCGCCGGCGAGTTGTAGACCTTAGCAGGGTGTGTTAGCGTGTCAAGTGCTGCAGCAGTAGGCAGTACCACCTAAGTGCTATTTCACTTTGATGGTGCCACACGGGATACCTGAGAGTGCCCTGTCAGAGAACCAGGAGCATAATTTGTGCCACCTTGGTGTACAGCTTAGCTGTTCTGGTGACCCAGTTTAGTACATGTACTCTGTGTTTTTAGCAGCAAGTAAATAACTCTGTCACTTCTGTGTTTCTGGGGCTGCAGTGAATGCAGCTGAATTTGCAGAAAGCGGAGGGTGCTGGCAGGGCAGAGAACCTGTTAGAAATCACTTGCTGATATAGTTGCCTGTCTTTCTGTCTTGCCAATCAAATCAGCTAACGACCTACACTAATGGTTTATTCCTTCGTTCTTTGACCTAGGGAGGGAAGGAACCAGTGTTTGTGAGCAATATGCTTTTCCAGGCCTGCAGTTAATGGAAACTGGTAGGACATTATCGTCAGTAGAAGGGACAGTTTGGTCAGGGGTTAGTGACTTCAGTGAATAATAGAGCTCGCAAAGGTGCATTCAAGCTGTATTTGTGGCGTGGGTGTGTGCAATACTCGTTTTGTCTTCTTGGTAGACTTTTTAAAAATCCTCTTTGCTTCGAAGATTCAGTATCAGACTCAGCTTTTTTGAAGGGAGTGAAGAATAAATAGTGTGTACGAGCGTTAGAAGTGGGAAATGGGGAAGTGAGAAGATGTAACGCACAAAGTCAACAGCTGATAAGCAGAAAGTACTTGTCCTGTATGTAGTATATTAAATGGGTACAGCTAAGGATTGTTCAGCTGGTTTTTGGCATAGGAATGCAGGGAAACAACGTGTATTAAGCCTGTGGGCACCAGAGTAGTAAAGGACTATGTTTCTGTATTTCACCATTCAACTATCTTAGATCAAATGGAAAAAAACCGAAAACAAAAGAAAAAATGCAGCCTGTGGGCACCAGAGTAGTAAAGGACTATCTTAGATCAAATGGAAAAAAAACCAAAAAAAAAAACCAAAACAAAAGAAAAAATGCGTCAGAAATAAATTCTCATTGCATTCAGATTTGCAAGATTAAATATTTCCGTGATAATGACGTAGCTCCAGTGACATTTAAATGCTGGTATACTTATCTCAACATCTGGATGTGCGTTAATTTACCTCTAGGAGAACACATTGTATACATAGTAAAACAAATATTTATATAAACTTATTTACTGAAATCTCCCTGCTGCTGCAATGAGGAGCAACTTTCAGATTTGTGAAACAGACAAACAGTGAAAACTGATGGAATTTGGGAAGCTGAGAATCGAAGAAAAAAAAAATAAATTTATTTCCTCTTTTTCTCCCCGCCTTTGTGAAAAACATAATACATATGCCCACTGAACAGGAGTGAAACTAGCAAATACAGTCACTCCAGTTACTCTACCATATGCATTTTCTTTTTGTGGTGTGTTACTGCCTCTTTCTCTTCAAGATGTTCTCCAATTGTGGCCATCCATTGGATTCGTATATGTAAATAGCGCACACCTGTTCTTGCTTGTGTGGTCTGTGCTATATGCATTTATTGTAGCTTTGTAATACGTGTTCGTTGTTTCAGAAGGGAATTGAAATCTGGTATTTAAAAGTCACTGCTAAAGCAGCAGTACCTGCTGCAACCCTTTCTCTGGGATTGTTTCTTTACCCTTGCCCTGATCCAGTTAAAATTTGTCTTCTCCCTCCTTGCACCGTTTCCAAAATTTATCCTGGCCCTATGAAAGGGACTGTCAAAAAAGGAGCGAGGTATTTTATCCTTTCTGTTTAGAAGCTGTAATTCTAGGCCTCTTATTTGCGTTCCTCATGCCTTCAATTTACAGTTTTGTTGATTTATTTCTGATACAAAACAGCTTCAGGGCTGCAAAGCTCCTTGATGTACTTTTTCTAAACACGATTTTGTATATGTTCAGATTTGCTAATTTGCTTTTCAGCAACATTGATACAAAACAGCTTCAGGGCTGCAAAGCTCCTTGATGTACTTTTTCTAAACACGATTTTGTATATGTTCAGATTTCCTAATTTGCTTTTCAGTAGGTGAAGAAAATAATAGTGTCTATATAGACAGCATATAGAAATGTAGGCCATTCGCTAAAATGTTTACGGCAAAGTTTCCTGCCTACATTTCTCTCTGAAAAATGTGTAGCGTAATCTTTTTATTATACATCTTTTTGTATTTCCATGGCTTTATTATCATTCAGTTGTTCCTCTCCCATTTTTCACAGAGCCTTATGATGCCCTTGTCTATTGTTTTCTGGGAGCCAGTAGTAGGATGACTATAAAGCTTCAATTTCTTCAGCCTTGTTGTGCCTTTTCCTCAAGAACAGGGAAGAACCCTCTCCTGGCCTAATAATGGAAAAAAAAGAAATTTTAAGGAAAGAATCTCATCTTGCTTTGCATGTGTCAAATGGGCAGGAACTCAAGGCAGAAAGGTTCTTTTTTTTTTTGTCTTTGAGTGATTTTCACATTGGGTTAACAAATGAGGAAACAGTAAGTATTCAGTAATACATGTTTACTCTAGTGGGAGTCAGGCTCGGCTCTTGGAAAGCGAGTGGGAGTACTCAATCAACTTCAAAGAGACTTGTATCGAGTTCTTTATGCTGTGCTGAAAAAAGGGTGGTTTTTTAGAAGTTCTCCATTCAGTAAGCACTTACAGTGTAAGTTTAGTGCAGTTGGTCTTCACGGACCTGTTCATACCAGTGAATAACTTGGGTGAGGAAGTGCTGCGTTGCAGGTTGAGACTCCAGAGGAGCAAGCTGTATGCCACCAGTGAATAACTTGGGTGAGGAAGTGCTGTGTTGCAGGTTGGGACTCCAGAAGAGCAAGCTGTATGCCTTTTTTTTTTTTCATTTTGCTTGAACTTGCTACTAGAGAAGCCATCTTTCCAAACTTGAACATTGTTTGTGCAACCCCCGTGGGACTTGAAAGGTGAAGGCTTTCTGCTAAAGTCAGGTATCTCAGCAAGAGCATTTGAAATCTGCTGAGAACTGCGAAGCAAGGCGTGCAATTTATATCTCTGGGATGAGATTTGCTTTCAACACTGTCTTCTGTATGAGAGCTCTGATCGCAAGGTGCATCTGTGCAGTTGTTTGGCTTCCACATAAAGCTTTGTGTTTCTTCCAGTGTTTTTATATTTTCATTGGAAAGAAAAGGGGAGAGAAATGTAGAAGAAAATAATAATATCGTTTTACTTAATAATTTAAGTACTTACAGGCAGTAACAAAATTGGTCAATAGTTTCTACTGATACTGAAATAGTAGGAATTGAACGACACTTTGAAATTGTACATTATATTATTATCAGGTATTTTTCAGCGCGTCTCAGGAGCTGTTTTATGACAAGATTATTTGTGGTGGAGGAGGACAGCAAAATGCAAGACAGCAAAAAGGCATGGTGACCCAACTGTACTTTTGCAAAAATGTCTGGTTTGAAGGGTTTTTTTTACTATTGCAAGTATCAGTGGACTTGCTCACACCAAAGATAGCCCTTGAAGAGACTTCTTAGCGCATGCGTCACCTCTTTAAATTCAAGCTTGTTCCCTGCATGGCTGCTAACTCATGTGGTTGTAGGGGAGATGGCTTTGACTCACATGAGGAACCATGTTAACCAAGTTAGTGGGAAGGAGAAGGAAAACACATTTTCCCACGTTCCCAGTGAGAGTTGTTTCTCTGCCAAAAAAACTGGCAGGACAGAGCTTTCTTTTCAGCATAGTGTTTTGACTCTGATTCAGAGCAAGATCTCTGAATAATAGGGAGCTGGGCTATCAACTTCATTTAAACAATGCAAAAACGAAGTGCCGCATTTTAAATTCAGATTAAATGAATGATGCTCTGTACAGAGAATAATCTACCTAGTCTGTGTTGCAGCACTAGCAGAAAGGTAATAAATGGTGGTTTTTTTCCAGTGAAAAGAGTGTACTGATTCTCATGTCCTGGTTTTGGTTTCCTATGATTAACAGTTGCCACTGATTTTGAGTATTTCTATAAAAGTCAGTTCCTGACATATTTGGTCACTCTTGTTCACTTCTGTTTAGTAGCTCTCCGTTTTCAGAAATAGTTTAATCTTACTTTCTGACCCTGATGGAGACGTGACGGTGGCAACTCTTGTTCACTTCTGTTT